TTATTTTTAGGCCCCGAAACATTTTTTGGCGGGGGCCGAACCTGGAGGTGTTCGGCCCCCGAACGGGACCCCGAACGCCCGAACGTCCGGGGGCCAGCCCGGGGGCCCCCGACGTACGGAGGTCCCCGGGCAGACCTCCGTACGTACGGGCGTTCGGGGTCCCGTACGAGGTCCGAACCCGACAACGACCCCCGCCAAAAATGATTTCGGAAACTAAACATATTTTATTTTTTCTGAATTTTGTTTTGTGAGTTCTCTATGACGATAGGTACACACCTATAAATTTTCAAGTCATTTGGCTTAGCCAAATAAGAATTAAAAATCGCCAAAGATGGCGGTGTCAAAACGTGCTTGCCCACATTTTTCATCACTTTTTACTTTTTGTTTTGACTTTAGTTCGGGGTGTAAACAATTTTATTATTTTTTGAAACTTTTTTAGTGTGTTTTGCATCATGTGAAGTAGACGTATGTAAATTTTCAGAGCATTTAGCTCTTCCAATAAAAAATGAAAAATCGCCAAAGATGGCGGTGTCGAAAACGTGCTCACAAACTCACTTCAATTCTTTTTTTTTTGTTTGTTATTTTTATTATTATGTGAGGATTGAGCCCTCAAGTAGGGGCCTTGCCATGATGTAAATGTTCTGGGCTAAGGCCCCAGCAAGCCTCGTGCCCGCCCTAAGTGAAGGCGGGCCAGCAAATCAACAAGAGCCCTCTGTGCCAACATTTCACGAAGTGGGGTTCATACAGTTGCAGCACGCCAGTTGGTTGGAGTGCACCGAGTCTCGGATTTCAGCAAATGCTGAAAGCCCAGGGCATCTGAGTTACTTAGGCCCTGGGCACTCGAACATGAGGCCGACAATGCATGCTGGGTAGAGAGGCTGAAAATGCCAAAGGGAAATCGGCCCACTATCTGAATCTGGCCACAGACCTTGATGAAAGAGGCGCAACTGCATTGCCCCGGGGCCCAACTGTATCGAGTTGGCTTCAGCCTCTGGGTCTCGGTCACAGGCTGAAGGGAGGCCGCCCACACGTTGCATTGGCATATAGGCAAGCAGGGCGAGGGAGCAGGGATCTTGGCCAATGCTGGCATTGCGGGCACGCTGCGCGGATGCATGTGTGTTGCGCTGTGCAGAGCAGCGCTGCGCTAAGGTGAAGCAGGCCATCGCCAGGTGGTAGGGCGCTGCCTGCATGCAAGGCACTGACAGCCATAGCCGAGCCGCATGAGGGTGCAGAGAGGTGAAGGGCAAAGGTGGTCTTCGGAGGTGAAGGGCACTATGTGGGTAACAAGGGAGAGTGTGGGGAAAGGGACACGTACCTGGTGAAGGTGAAGGTCGGCATTGGTGTTGACATCATCACTCGCTGGTAGTCAAGTTGTCTGGTTGCTGTTCATTGCTGTAGTTGTAGGATAGGCTGTAGAGTGGATAGGGCGTCTGGCACCATTCACAAGAGAGAGCTACATTTGGGTTATGTTGTTGGTGTTGCCCTGTTGGGCATGGACATTGACTCACAATTCTTCTGTATCATTCTAAATTGGATGGTTACTCGGTTCCATGTGCTATCTGCTTTGGCTTTGACTACTTGGACTTCAGTGTGATTTTGCATTCAGGATTTCTGTGCTTCGTCCATACTCATGTTCCTTGCAATTTGGTATCGGAGCTGGTTTGATCGCCACTTACCTTCGGCATGCTGGCGTTACACAGACTTGGTGCGTTGATGATGCTTCTTCGCAGTTGGTACTTGTGACGTCAGGCCATTGATAGGTGCACGCCCTGGGTAGAGAGGGGTGCACCAAAAGGCTATTACGGTAGTGTATGCCGAGGGATACAGCAGAATGTTTGATTGATGATGAGAGCATGCTGATGTGGCATTGGACTAAGGTGGCACTGCATTGCGTTGTGGGTGGTACCGAGGTCATGACCGGTCATCAAATGCAACATAAGCTCAATTGGTGAGAAAATCTGTAGTTGGGGGCAGCTATCTTCAGGTATGTTGATCCCTTACTTTATCTACCTTCTCAATCTCTTCTTACTGTGAGGAAGTGAGTCAAACTTGAGAGTCCTCTCCTTGGTGAGGTGTCGTGAGCGCGCTGCCTTGAGAGACGACAATCTTCCCGGAAGCATCTGGAAGGAGAAAGGGCGGTGCCTCTAAAGGGCCCTGGTCGAAGCACTGGGTCACTGTCACCATGCCAACCCACAGGGAGTAGTACACGCATGCGATGGCTGCTATCCTGTTTGGCACTTTCTGGTTGGGAGTTCATTGTGAATCTGGCTGTGATCGTCGTCCTGACTGCGACGTTAAAGAATTCCTGAAGAGGTGGGGGAGCTCTATAAATACCTCCTGATCAGCCAGATCATATGGACAGGAAGGCTCGTCGTCGTACGAGGGTAAATAAGAGTGGTTGGGCTGGCTTGCTCGGTGACAACTTGGGCACAGGGGTGGACCGATACACACACAAACACACTGCTTTGCTCAAGATGTTGTCCGGATGGTTGGATTAAGGGGAAGGGTAGATTCCAATTGGTGCTCAACTGAATACACAACTATACCCATCAATCATACATCTACTACATGGTCTTTTTGTACTTTTGATTAGTTGGTAGACAGACTGCTAACACCTCACAGACAGACTAGAGTAGGACTGAAGTATGATACCATAGCTAGTTCTATCTTGTGCTGCAGTAAGTGAACAAGTCAAAGTGCATTGAGACTATGTTGACAATCTGTGTGAATGTTGTAGACATGCCACTTGATCGGTACATTAGGGGACTTGCCGGACAGAACCATTTCTAGAAAATTAGGTGTCGGTCAGACACATGCTGCGGTAGGATTCCACTAGGGGGTTCTAGTGCAGATAATGTTTGCCTAATTAATGAACAGATCAGACGTCGATGAGGAAGGAGTTGACAATAGTAGACTAACACGTGCAAGATCAATTAGGATCCCGTACGTGTTCAGGACCCTAGACGAGGGAGAAGAAAGACGGCTTCGTGCCGAACGGAGAGTCCGTGCTCTCACAGCATCGAGAGAGGCAGCAAACGTTGCAGCTAGGGAACATGTTGCAGCAGCAGCCAAGGCAACAACCATGACTTCTTCAGCAGCATCCTCCGCTGCAACTTCAGTTGCGTTCTCGTTTGGACCCTAGTTTGGAATGCCAACAGGGTCTGCAGGCACTTCCAGCTCATCAGGTTGTAGACAGTCTACAAGTCAAATGGCGGGCTCGCAGTTCAGCACGTTGACTCCTCGCGAAAGGGAGATGAGGGAGCTCCAGCAGGTCGAAAGGATCCGTGCACAATTAGAGAAGGAACTGAAAGAAGCTACCGATAGAGAAAGAGAGATAAAGAGTAGAACAGCCAGGCTTGAAATGTTAGCGGCTGACAAGGCTGAGTTAGAGGGCATGGACGACTCTGGAATGAATGAGCCCATGAAAGTGTTGAGGAACAACATGCTGTCACTGCATGCGCACGTAGACAGCAGGTTGGACTTCATGCAGAGCACTTTGGACCAGATCCTGGACATTTTGACAAGGCCAGGATTTAGGTCACCAGCACAATCGCCGTTGCCGTTATCGGCGATGTCAGGCCCCTTTCCAGTTCAAGCTGGTACACAGCCTAGTGGTACGTCTGCAGCAGCAGCACAGACTATTGCATCTTCTTCTTCGGGTCCAGCGGTGATTGCTTCATCACCACAACAACCTGTTCAGCAATCTGGACAGCCGCAAGGTCAATGGTATCCCAAGACCCCAATGAAACCGCCTCTTGCCTTCTCAGGCGAGAGAAAGGACGAGGAACTCAACACATGGTTGAGGACAGTCCCGGTTTGGGTGAAGGCCAAAAGGACCTTGCTTGAGGACGAAGTGGTAACTGCGGCGTCTTACCTAGAGGGTAAGGCAGCCAAATGGTTAGATGGTGTAGTTGTGAAGGCCGGGTACGGGCGACGCATGGCAAACTGGGCTAAGTCTTTGACTCTAGACCAATTCATGGAAATGGTAGAAGCTCGATGGCATAATCCAAAGGAGGCGCAAAGGGTCACTGATGTCATTAACAAACTGGACCAACGCAAGTTCAGGTCAGTTAGGGAGCTTACGACTACCGTTGAGAGCCTGATCCTCGTCCCAGGTATCAACTACAACGACCAGTTCCTGTTGACGACGTTTGTTAGATGTCTCCCAGAGAACATGAGGAACTTACTAGCAAGTGAGGCACGCACCGAGTACCACTCGTTTGAGACATTGTCTAGGAAAGCCTTAGACTTAGAGGCCATGCTAGGCAATGATCAACCCACCTCAGGGAATGACTCAAGGAAGAAGAAGAGTCCTCAGGAGTGGAAGAAGAAGGGGGCGAAGTTGATGATGGTTGAGTCTGATGGGACTCAAACTGAGATCGATGAACTCTCTGACCTGATGGACTGCTCAGAGTATGACGGCGAGGAGGTAGCTGAGGGTAGCACCCTCGCCGCGGTAGTTAAGACTAAGGCAACAGGCCGAGGGAAGGGCCAACCTAGGGGTCAAGGGAAGGCCGCCTCCAATCAAACCAAACAGGTTGAGTGGATTAAGGCAGGTCTTGATCAAGACGTGTAGTGTGACCGCCGAATGCGTGGCGCTTGTATCAACTGCGGGGAATACGGACACACGCAGTACAAGTGCTAGAACGTTAAGGTTACGCAAAAGGTTGCTCCAAAGATGGGGGCAACTTATTCCCAGGCTTCTAGCTCGGGAAACATGTGAGGCCAGTGGAAGTAGTAGCTGCTTCTACTCAAGATGAAGTAGGATTGATACCCTCCCTACGCAGAAAGGTGAAGGGCGAAGGTGGTCTTCGGAGGTGAAGGGCGCTATGTAGATAACAAGGGAGAATGTGGGGAAGAGGACACGTACCTGGTGAAGGTGGAGGTCGGCATTGGTGTTGACATCATCACTCGCTGGTAGTCCAGTTGTCTGGTTGCTGTTCATTGCTGTAGTTGTAGGATAGGCTGTAGAGTAGATAGG